AGTGTTCTGGGCCGGGAGATTATATCTGCTATTGTCTCCTCTGTGTCAGCTCCTTTTCTCTGTTGTTTGAGCGGACCAGACAACAGCATTAGAACAGGGGTGTTGTGTTTTCCATGACGTGCATACGGATGAACCAGTTTACGGGGGGGGAACACTTTCAAGATACCCGTTCACGGTGTAATATCATGTGTTGCATATCTTCCTCACTGGTGTTTTTATTTCCAAGGTAAATTTGGCAGCTGTCTTTCATTCGTCACGGGGCTGAGTGCTGCGTGAGGTGAGATTATGTGTTGATTTTAATTTGAATACGCAGTTGTCGTTGCCAATGAAGGAACTGACACTCCCACTCTGCAGAGTTAGGACACTTTCTGACCCACCTCTAAATGTTCCCGAGGGGTTGTCCTCCAGTCGACTTCAGGCTCTCGGGTCGGATTAGAGTCCCTGAAAATAGAAAGGTAAAAGTGGGAACACAACAATACAGACAACAACGACAGCCCGACCTCTTTCCCCCTCTCGCTCTGCATTTCGTAGCGGCGGCCTCGGGAGGTATCCAATTATGACGCCCTTGAGGGAATGACGGTGCTTGGATTTCTGTCAATACAGGGTTCAGGTAGTGTTTCTCAATAACACTCTGAATTATTGATGGCGGAGAGATTGAGAGGAGAAGGGTGTAGTTAACATTCACTTCTATGTATGAGGAGGAGATGGAGAGATGAGGGCATATTTTAAAGTGATCTATTTGATTAGCTGACCCGGAGGTAGGACTCGTTTGAAGATGCCACGAGGACCGCAGGAGACTGAAGGTGCGTCCTGAGTGACGGGGAGCACCGACCGGTCAGGGAATCAGGGCCCCTCTGAAGATGAATCTAAATAATTAGGAGGCGGACGAATGGAGAGGATTCCACTGGAGGGCGGCTGATCCTCCTTCCGCTGATCGCCCTCTGGGCTTTTATTTTATTTCTTTTGTTCGTTTTCGTCCATTGCAAATAGACATGAAGACGATGGATGGTGCCTGCAGCGGTTCTGCGGATCGATCAGAGAACCGTCTCACTGTCTGAGTCCCGCATAGATCCCCCTGTGTGAAGTCTGGCCAACTCGCTGGCTTCAGAAAGAAGTCCTGAGAGAAGGCCTGACTGGAGGCAGTGCTGCTCTGCTCTGTGAGTGATACCCATACTGGATGTTCAGTCAGCAGTGGTGTAACGGACCGTAGTTGATCCCTGATGTTCAGCACGTATGTGACCCGCGGATTAACTACAGTTTAGCCTTCATAGAGTGAAATAAAGTTTTACCACAGATCGTTATTGACCAATATTCAGTAACAATATGTGGTCAGGGATCAGCATTAATAACAACAAAACTGTGTGATAATCGACGGGAGCGGAGATAACGGCTAACGTAGGGAGGTTCCATTCAGTTATATCATGATGCGTTCAGGCTCCATTCAGTAAAAATGAGTATTGGGGCAAAAGTTAATTATATAGTATCACGATGTGTTCAAATGAAATCTTGTAAAATGTAGTTTTTGGGCAAGAAACTTGAATAAATAGTTGTTTCTCAGCAATATATTATAGATATTACAGATAATTACGACCTGTGTGATTTCCTTATCATAGCTCTGAGCAACTGACAATATTGCCAAGTGTTATTTCATCAATGAAAATACAATCTTTTATGTTGCATTTTTATGCAAATAACCACTTGAGATAACTAGAACAAAGTAAAAGGATAACATTTAGAATTTTGAGTGTTTACACTTTGACTTTGGGACGTTGGTGAGATAATCTGGAGCCTTGTGCACCAGCTGCTATAACAAAACTAAACAATGAAAACCATTTGCATTGGGGCATCTCTAAAAGTTATATTTGCTCCTCTTTCTTTGCTGATCCGATCAGTGACCCTGATACCATCTGAAGCGTGTGTTTTTTGATCCGCTGCTGTTATCACCGAGACACCAATAAATACGTCGCTTCATTGCAGCACTGACACTGAAACACTTTTCAGAACTTTTCGTTGGCTCCTTGCTGTCAGTTTGGTTTTCACTTTGACACCAAACCCCTAAAGATCCGCCACAGAAGGACAAAAGCAGGCTCTGATCTGCGGGGATCCTTCGATGAGGACAGAGTAAAGTAGTCTGACACGGGGTGACAATCGATGGCCTCTGCGACGGGACTACCCGTCACTCGTCTGAACTGTGTGGGCGCTGAGGTTAAAGCAGCGTTCCCCTGGGAACCGCCTGAGTGGCATTGATGGCAAGGAGGGTCCCAACCTCCCCTGACAGACACATCTCATCCTGGATGCCACCTTGCCCTCTCCCTGCCGGGGCACGATGCAGACTCTGACAATGAGACTACATTATACTGACACCAGGCAGCTGACATACTAATCCAAGAACTAAAGGACTTCAGGGACCATTGATTTTCTATTCTTGGTTAAAAAAAAAAAAAAAAAGGCAAGAAGCCAGCCATCACTCCTCTTTGACCAGGGATGCTAATGGACTTTTTCAAATGTTGCTACAGCTCCCCTGGAGCCATTCTGTTTTTGTCCCTGCGGGGCCTTTGAAGTCAACCAAAATCCCCGGCTCCTTTATCGGACATGTTGGTATTCAACAGCCCAGCTTAGATGCCCGTTTACGGTCGGTGACAGGCAGCACTGTAAATCTAAACTCTGACATTGGATTTAAGAATGAAAGTAGACCCACAAATAATGGTATAAAGCTACCGGCACTGTGTGTTCCTGTGGATTTATAAGAGTACGACTTCCATTTGGACTAGAACAGTTACCATTTACTTCTATCAAACCCTTTAAACTCTACACACACACACACACACACACACACACACACACACACACACACACACACAATTAATGGATGTTTTGAGCAGTTTTTAAATTTTTAGTATACGAAGAAAAGTCCTTCAAATCATCATCACTGACGCCACCCGTTGGTTTGTGGACTGCATTTTTGAAGCCTTGACTTCGGTGTTTTTTGGCGTTGTCATCTTGGGTTTTCGCAAACCAGTGGACGGAAGTGACCGTATTTGGACGTATACGTCTCTAATAGACAAGGTAGCTGCGCCCCTAAAGCATCCCCTGCTTTATGGTCTGTGTGACTCTAAATGGACCATAATGTACTAAATGAACATCAGGCTGTATTGAAGAAGACTTGAAACTAGAGATTGAGACCATAAACTCATGTTTACAATGTTTACTGAGGTAATAAATCAAGAGAGAAGTAGAGTCATTTTCTCATAGACTTCCATACAGTTAGACTTATTCTCGTTTCCACTTTGGCTTCACTCTTCAGAACCAGAGGTTGCCGCCTGATACCAATTCCAATTTGCTGCGACGACATCTCTGTGGTTAAACATTGCAAATCTAATTAGCAGTTATACGTTGCTCCTGTCTGAGAGGGTTGAGTGCAGAGTTGAGTGTCCTGAGATATTTATCATCGGGATTCCTTTTGTTCATCATCGTCCGCTGTGTTTGAATGTCAGCCACGCAGAGTCGACTGCAGTCTGATGCGATCGCTGAGAGGAAAAAGCAGCTCAGTGCTGATTCGTGTCATGGGACTGCAGTGAGATTGCTGGTCTGATGAACCCACCGAAAAGAGTTGAGGGAGGGACAATCAACTCGAGCCCCAACAGTGAAGTGTTTGTCTCAGCGAGTGCCATTCAGATCATGTGTTGTTTTTCTTCCACCGTCAAATTAAGATTCCCATGTGGATGTTTTGACAACAAAAAAATCATCAGGCAGGTTTTTTTACATACTGGTCCGGCACGGCAATGGAAACTAGACAAGTTGTCACCCTGCTATTATTTTATCATGCAAATTGAAACTGCATTTTGAGTCATCACAATTGTTAGTGCTTTATTTTTTAATATTCACAGCTGCTTTTGAGGTTTTTTATTAAGATATCCTCACAACACAGCAAGGAAGAGTGATAGTGTTCGGAGCAGGTCAGTGGGGGTTTATGGGCGTCCTGGAGACACTCGAGTGCCACGGCCGTGCTCCGTATGTTGATTTGCATGAATTATCTAACACCACCTTTCTAATACATTCAACAATCCGGTCTTATTTGTCCTCTTTTTGCTCATGTACCGTTCCCAGTGAGTGCCGTCTCTGTTGCTTTATTACAAATTATAAAAGTTTAAATATATCTCCCTCAATATATTACGTTCCAGCTCAGGAAGCTGTTTGGTAGCAGCCTGTCGAGAGCAGAGGCTAACGTGGCTAATTGTGTCTGAAATGATCGATGCGCTCGCTCATTATTCCGGCCTTTGTGTGCCACAAATATGTCAGCGTGGGGACGATAGTGGGGGCTTAAAGATGTGTCACAGCCAAGGGGCTGAGAGGTATCCGGGTGCACAGAGGTGAGAGGTATTCTCTATTCTGCGGCTGTCCTAAAAAACGAGTGGAATAGCCTGGTCGGGGAATATCAGAGGGCGATTTGGCGTTCGCATTATGCTCCGCTGTTTAGCTGCGAGCAGCAGGCCGACAATAGCCGTCCCAGGAGTGGACAGGTGCTCACTGTGCAGTGCAGTAGATTGAGGATAATGTGACTTTTTACGCGACCAAGGGGACTGAAGAGTAAGAGTTTACTTATGAATTTGAATGACTTCCTGGCCCTCTAATGCCAACCAATGAAGACAAAGAATATCTTCCTCTTAATATTATATTTCAGCATTAACCTAATTGAAGGGTCGTGAGACTCTGCGGATGCATCTCATGAATCTGTTGGCTAATCCAAATGAATGTCAGATAATCAATGGAATGCCAGCGTCTCAGAAACCCCTTCTTCCTCTGAAGAGGCCCGACTGCCGATGTCTCCCAGATGGCTCAACAAGTCCAGTTCATTAAAAACAAAAGGATCCGGGCCCTCCCCGTCCAAACCCTAGAACACAGAGAGCAAAGATGAGATAAGCTATGGCTTATTTCCCTCCGACAGCTGTCAGCTCATCCCCCCCCCCCCCCCCCAGACTGCACAGAAAGTCATTAACTGATTAGACTTTGTGTTTGGTTAGATTAAGAAAGTTCAGGATTCCAGAGGGGAGATGTGTTGTTGATGCACATTTGCATTTGGAGGTAAACGTGGGCGCTCGAGGACGGCAGGTGTGTTTTTTCAGCTGCGTCCGTCTGTGTGTGGAAAAGGTCAAAAAAGCGTGACGAGCAGCCGCCTTACTCTGCTTGTATTCTCAGGACAGAGCTGGAACAGAAGCAAATCAGAGCCTTAACCTTTAATACGGGCATTGTTTCGGGGTTTTTAACGAATTTAAATGTCAGGATTCTGCAGAATATAGTCGTTTCCCAGCAGCTCGCTCAAGTATAACAAACTGGCTCCATAAGATGCTGCGATAACGAGGGCTTATTGTAGGTACAGATACCGAGTTGGTGCTTTTTTACCTTTTTAATATCTTCAACATTATAATACATGATACACCTTCAATACTTCGTAGAAACATGTTTTTCCTCTGATAAAACGTCTCATTTTCATAACTTGTTAATGTCTTCTTTACACAACTGATATGATTGTGTTAAACTAATAACATGATTTAAAGAATCCGATGGAGCATTCGGTGCCGACTTTAAATACTTGACATACTTACTTCATGTCCGTTGTCGGTACGTAATTACGTACTTAATTACTTCCGTACTAGACTGGTTCATATGGCGTGATTAACAAACTACAGTAGTTATGGAACAGACTTGTCCTTGGTTCCCTGATGTGGGTTCGTTGTGGGGTCCTGTTTACGACTCTATGAGCCTCAAACTTACGAGTGTATGAATCTGTCTGCAAAGCTGCTGGACCGTGTCAATATATCTTCCCCTGAATGACCATATGCTGACAAAGCATCTCTCTCCTCACTTAGCGGAGTTGACTGAGGGCTCATTCATTCGTTTTCACGTTACTCTGACTGAACCGACTCCCTTTGTGACTGGTTCCCCTCTGGAGAATGCCCACGGGCCATGACAGTTCAGACTAACCGGTCCTTTGAGTGCAGGCAGCCAAAGGAGGTTGTGTTTGTGTACTGCTTTGTGTCGGTGATGACATGTTTGTCTGTCTGTGTTGGCGTAGTATGATGGCTTATTCGGGCTGCTGTAGGTTTACAACAGCCCTAATTATGTTAATATTTTGGGCAAAGAAGAAGAAGGATATTCTGAGATGGTAGTGGTAAATTTACAAGAGTAAACTCACAGATTTATGAGAAATAAACTTGAATATTCTCTGAGATTATAAAGTCATTCATTTGCGTGTTTTTTGTCGAGGAACCACATCGAAGGTTAGCTCACCCTAATCCCACCCTGCATAAGCATGAGGCACAGAGTGCAAAATATATACATTATTATATTTGTATTTATTTATGTTCATAAAAGAACACAGAACATGAAGGGAAACACGTATATACACCTTCCAGGACTCCCGCCTCGCAAATACATGACTTCTAAATCTCAGATACAAAGTTTTTTTCTTGTAAATTTGTGAGTTCCGTCTTTACCACTTCAATCTCAGAGAATATCTGTGTTTTTGTCTCAAGGTTTTCTCTGAATATTCCCCCTCTCCACTGACTCTATATTTTCCTCCCTTTTACGACTATAATGGCCCGAAATACTCGGTAGGAGATTCGTGTGCTTCTCCTTGGAACACAGTTTTCTAAACGTTGCAGTGAAAGAGCAGCGAGTTCTTCATGTTCTGCAGCTTCTCATAGCGTGAACCAACTCTTATGCTCAGGATAATAATGCATGGCCTGTCGTAGAAGTGTTAGCTTGACTTTCAGTGCGTCTGAGTGTTCTTGCATAAGCTCTTGTTCTCTCAGCGGTCGTCTTGTTTTGCATGCGTCGTCATCACAGTCTGCCGGCTGCCTTCCTTTTAGCAAAGTACCCGGTTTGTCAATAAATGATCTCTGGCTTCCCTCCTCACCAACATGTTCCACTTCCTCGGCGTGCTGCGTATGTTTTTTCGGTGGCTGCGTTTGGGACTCGTTGCCGTTTCACAGCTGTTTTTTTGTTTGTTTTTTGCATGAACCAAAGTCTTTTCAAACCCTTTTGGTTGACATTTAAAATGATTTTCCTCATGGATTTGTCTCGATTCCACATAACATAATCTGTTTGTGGCAAAGGCCCCCCTAAACCATAGGGTGCGATGCTAATCCATCAGGTATATTGTCCTCGTATGTCGCCGCAGGCAGGCCACACAAGCCGTGTGCACACAGTAAACACAAGCAGCCCGCCGCCCACTCCCCTCGACTCACTGCGTTGTGATCATTGCTTGACCTCATTGCTGAACGCAGCTCTCTCTCCTGCATTTAAATGAAGCAGACTATTATCAATATTGATGGCGGTTCATGTCTCTGTGGACTTAATTTCCTGCTCCCACTTAAAAACCATGTGGCCCGAGTCTCACTGCCAGACAACACAGTCTATAAATTAGGGACGGCTTGTTAGGACCCCTGTGGAGGACACGTTGCCCTAAATAAGTTGGCGGAGGAGCGCAGGTCGTCATCGCGCTTCGAAGTTTGTTTTCGACAAATCCCTCCGCCGCCCATCTGTCACCGTGTCCTTCCACAGATATATCAAACAGATCTCAGCCTTGTGTGCTGCTGATTATTCACACACTCAACCCCAGGTTCAGTCTGCATTGCCTTTAGGAGAGTCGTTCTCGGGACTCTTTTGTCACCGTTTATTGAAAACGTTATTCTGGGATTTTGAAACAATGCAGGTGGATTTTTTTACATGATAAGCAGCCATTGTTGTTTTTCTGTTCTGCGTTTCTGTGAAAACACAGTCTGTGCTATCATGACGTCTTTATCCTTTCTGTGAATGAGGTTTGTTTTCATGAACAGCTCGCGTTGTCTTTCTTTAGCTACCAAGTTGCTCCAGTAATTATCCAAATCAAACTCTTCCTTTTGCATTTAGTCATTCAGAATAAATGATTCACTTTTCAGACAACTTTTTCCTGAAAGGTTCTTGGTCGCCACGACGGACTAACTGTTGTCGGTGTGGTTGGTTAGCAGAATATCTCAAGCATGCAAACAAATAGTACAATTAGGTGGAAAGTGGCCGACCATGGCGGTCACTTTTGTTGACAAGTGGAGGAATCATTAGAGCCCTGCTGGAGAATCTCAAGCAGAGATCAGGCTCATAGGGAGTAAGGAGATCTCAGATACACACAGGATCCGTTCAACACTTTACAAACAAGCAGTAAGATCTTTAAATCAGTTCTACAAGTCACTGGTAACCAGCGAAGGGCACCACGGTTCTCTTACTGCGTGTTGAAAGCCTGGCAGCAGCGTTTTGTATCAGATACCATCTGGAGGAGATAAAAGCTTTCATGATGATTTCTAAGTCTGCAGATGAAAGAAAAAGCTGATCTATGGAAGTAGGCCTGCACCACCTCAGTCACCTGAGCATTAAAGGACGATTCAGGTTCAAAAGTATCACCTAGGTTGATGATTTACTGGACTTTATATGAAAAGAAACTGCCATTTTCATGTGTTTTATGAGGCAGATAAAAAATGATAACAACATATAATACCAGATTTAGATTTGGGGAACGTGATCTCTGAATGGTAGCTTTCATTTTATTCTATTTCACCATTTTTTTGTTCTTATACTTTTTTATACCTCATTTATTTTAACGTTGTAGCTTAATAACTCCATTAGTCTCAATCAGTTACATTTATATATATATTTTTTTATCTCTTCGTAGATATTTTTAACCTTTTAACATGTTAGGGGTCATGTAGAGCTGTACAACCGAACCCCAGCGGGTAGTGAGTGAGAGTCTTGGTACACCTGACGGGTCTCCATTCGCTCACGTACAGACCTTTAATCTGATTGATTAATGCTGCCATCAGGGGCCCGGTGTCAGGGGCCCGGTGTCTGGGGCCCGGTGTCTGGGGCCCGGTGTCTGGGGCCCGGTGTCAGGCGGGCCGAAGCGAAGGGCGGGCCGAAGCGAAGAGCGAGTGTTTAATTGTGCCAAGTCGTCTGTGAAAGGCTTTCGTCGTTATGGGCAGTAAATAAGGCGGTCTTCGTGGCCCCGCCTCCTCCCCTCCTGAGTCTGGTTCTCTCTCTCTCTCTCTGACTCCGTCTACCTGTGTGGTTACACTCTCACATCTCAGCGGACACTCCGTCACATCGCCGCATTGACAGAAGGCATTGCATGCAAATAAGACCTGCCGCCTTTAAACGTCGAGCCGTGATCGTTCCGTTGTTCCGTATACTTTTTTGACATAGTCTTCCACAACATTTCAGGGTCAGGAGTTCTGCGTTATACTCCAGATTCCAGTAGAAGCTGTAGCAGGAAACATCCACTGTGTTGAAACACTGTATTGCCTGACTGTTCTGACCCTGATGACCCTTTTGTCTCACTCCAGGTGGGAGGTGAATCTGCCGCGGGCCATGTGTTTCTGGTGAGGCCTCATCTGCTGCCAAAATGAGGCCGATGCCCGGCCCGCCTCGACCCGTCCTGCCGGCCGTCCTGGCTCTCGCCTTGGCCGCCTTCTTACCTCGGCTGTCCTCGGGAGCCACGCCGTTCCCCCAGGACCTGGAGCCCATCAGCCTCGTGGGCAGAGGGTGTAAGTTAAGAAAAAATCTGCCGTGTTGCCGGAGTAGAGGCCGGGGTCAGCGAGGCGTTTTATCGTCACTAGAGGCGACACGGCGGATGTGTTTTAAGGGCATGTTTTGTTCAGGCTGCTGGAATATTTATGGCTATCGTTTGTTGGCTTTGGCGTGAAAACAAAAAGGAAACAATGCATGAAGACACCTGAGGCACAGTTTGTAAAGAATGAGGATCTAATCATGAACTGTTCCTCATTACAGAGATCTTATAATGTAAGAAGAAAGTTACACCCAAACTAATAAAGACAAAAGATGCTGCAGACCTTTTCACGTTAGTTTACACCAAAGAAAACAAACTGGACACGTAGCCAAAGGCTAATATATTGATATTTATACAAATATCTTTCGGGTACGCTTTCGCTCTTCACCTGTTTGGTTCCATTTGGTCGAGATTCCCAACATGTCCGCTCGGTTCGTTTGGTTCATTCAGGCTGGAAATCTGTCAATCAGGCTGAGCGGACTAGAAAATGTGATTATTTCCTCTAAAGGACGAGTTTCCTGTCTGTCCACATGTCTTTATGTTTGCACCTGATGTTTGTTAAGAGTTAGCGTGAACACAACAAAGACCAGAACACAAAAACACAACTGAAATGGGCAACAATGGATCAGGTTTTCTTTGGGTCACACCTAGTGGGCCGAACTACAGGTGTGAAAGAGACATATTGATATATAAACCACATTAATGTAAATATGAGCTAAATCACACTCAAAACAAAAACTTAACTCAATAAAATTGCTGTTAATTTCGAGAAAATAAATAAGTGAAACGATAACACCATACAAGTACTCTGACAGTCCAGAGAGGTGGAATCATCACACAGTCTTTCGTGTGACTGGAGCTTAAGAGAGGAGGATCTTGGACATCCGTGACACTCTTAAGACACCACAGCCTGGGGGGGGCCCGTGGGGGGGGGGGCCACAGAAGAGGTCCCGGCCGCTGAATGTAATGGCCCATAATTGATTGAAGAGGCAACCGAGACTGTGGCCCGCACGCTGTAATTGATCTATCTGGAAGAGAGCAACGCGAGCATTAGCAGGAATAGCTGCACTAATAGTGCTATATGTGGAGCTCCATCCCAGGTGTAATGAGAGCAATTTATCACCTCTGGTTCCAGCGGGGGACAGCGGGGCACGAGGTCCCGCACAACTCCGCGAGACGCCCATTATGACTCGTAGTCCTTCACGAGTCTATAGAAGTCGATAAAATCATACCCGAGTCACCGCTTCACTCCTGGAGAGCGGGGGGACGACTCACCTCGACGTCTCGTCTTGTGACGCCCGAGTAGGTTTGAGACAAGTAAGCTGTATTATTATTGTACTGGAGCTGCTGCCATATTTCATCTTTTATGTTAAAGGAATACTTCACCCACAAAATGAGCATTTGTATATTACCTATATCCTGGATGTGGCCCTGAGCAGCGTCCCCCCGTCCCCCCCCCCCCCCCCCCCCGAGCTTTAGAGGATGTGAAAGTGCTGAAGAGTAATTAGAAAACCCTCATTTGCCGGGGGGAGGATAGCGGGGCGGGCCGCTGGGAGTCTCTTCTCCAGACAGAACAGAGAGGTCCAGCGCTCAGCCCAGACATTAAGGGTTTAAATCTTTAAACAGTCGATCCGAGACCAGCGGTTAGAGGAACACAGGGCTCCCCGCAGAGAGACTCATTTCCGATTGTGGTGCATTTCTTGCGGGGATTGCTAATTCGGCAGCAGCCCAGGTCAGATGGGAGGCTGGGGGGCACTTAATACAGTACTTTACAGATCCACAGCGCCGTGGCCTGC